CTAACCTCAGACTAGTCATAGTTTAGTTAAAGTCGGGCTAACCTCAGTCTAGTCATAGTTTAGTTAAATTCAGGCTAACCTCAGACTAGTCATAGTTTAGTTAAATTCAGGCTAAACTTAGACTAGTTGTAGTTTAGTTAAAGTCGGGCTAACCTCAGACTAGTCATAGTTTAGTTAAAGTCAGGCTAACCTCAGACTCGTTGTAGTGGTACAAGCAGCAGTAGTACAATGTTGTGATCAGAGGCATGTAGAGGATCGGTGCTTTTCTGGGAAACTTTCTGAAGATTTCCATCTTTCCGTCACGCTCAGCTCTTTGATCTGCTGCCTGGCAGACGGACAGACAGACAGACAGACAGACAGACAGACAGACAGACACAGACAGACAGACGGACAGACAGACGGACAGACAGACGGACAGAGAGAGACAGGGACAGAGAAGCATTTAGACAGACAGTAAAACGTGGTTTATGTTTTACTGGTAAACAGCAGAACAAAGATGTTTTAAACTGCAGTCTGGTCCAGTCTGGACCGGTTCTGACCTCAATGATGATCTGCCTCTCCAGCAGAGTGTAGTGGTCCTGAACATGAGCAGAGTCCTCGAGAGAAAACGGAAGGCTGAAAACAAACAATAAACAACAAACAATTATAACAAACAAACATCTATCCATCCAAAGGAAGGATCAAAGAGTCAACAGGTCCAGAAAGAAGCCCAGACTGAGTCCTGGGTCTGGGGTCTCCATCCATCCTAATCAGACGTCTGGGTCTGAACCACCTCATCTTAGAAAGAGCAGCAACTCCACAATGAGCTCCTACAGACGATGGCCTCCTCATCTATCCTTACTTCAGCTGTTTAGATCCAGGATCTCCTTCCAGCACTAAGGGGTGGAACATGAACAGACCAGTAAATAGAAAACTTATTTTGGATCAGCCTTTTCTTCATCACAACGGACTGGAGCAACACCCTTATTACTTGAACTCCTCTGCTTGAGGCAAATGCTCACCCCTAACACCCCAGGGAGGTCTGGCCTCAGACCTAAAGGAGCTCATGTCAGAAGCTGAAGGTCATGACTGGAAGACACTGACAGAACCCACTCCTCCCCATGACTGATCCTTTAGATCCGGTCTACAAACGCCACAATCCAGATCAGAGACAAGGGGCAACCCAGGTAGAGTCCAGTCTGGATCAAACTCGACTTTGTACCAACATAGCACCTGCTTGGGTTCTACAGAGACTGGACAGTCCTTAAATGTGACCCCCAGCACCCAGTACTCAGCCATAGGCTTCAGATCCACAAAACACATGTGGGCTGGACTTTCAGGACCACCTTAAAAACTCTGCAAGGCCCTTCACCTTCTCCTTCAGGTGTGACTCACCTGAGACAGCTCTTTACGAAGTCCCGCCTCTTGTTTTCATCTTTGATGCTCTTGTACTCTTTATATTGAAACAGCTGGAAACAGATGTTAAATTACACTCGCACCCCATCAACCTTCATGTTGTACTCATGTTGTGGTCGTGTTTTTAGCATTACGCACCGCGACATCCTCCGTCCTGCCGAGAGTTCTGGAGAGAAGAAGAAGAAACCAGACGTAAACAAACTCAGACATGAGGAAGAGTTCAAATTACAGGTGAGTCCAGGTGAGTTCAGACCTGAGCAGCTCCAGCAGCAGCCTCTGGTCTCTGGTCTCGGTCAGGTAATGGATGAAGTGTCTCAGAGCCGTCTGTCTGGACTCCAGCTCTCGAAATAAAACCTCTGATCAGAAAAAAACTCACACAGTAAGAGTCCCACTCTCAGTTCTGACAACGGGAGAACCAAACCAGGACCAGAACCACTCACCTTTACAGAGACTCCGCTTTAAATAAATCAGAACCTGGAAACAAACAATGAGATCCAGCTGTTGATGAAGTTTTATTGATTGTTGAGTTCGTAAGGAGTGAAAGTAAAGTTACTGCAGTGATGACGTTTCCATCGTGAGCAGCGACGGCGAAGTCCAGCAGCAGGAGTTTGTCCTGCAGAGAGCGAAACTTCTCCAGGGACACCGCCTGCAGTACAAGTACACAGAAACACTGCAGTTTACAATTACACTAAAATACTGTAAATGTATTTAATGTGAGTACAGGAGTAGAGGTGAGTTACCTTTCCCTGCTGCAGCCTCTGAACCGTCTCTTCAGGTGACCAATCGCCAACAAAATCCTGACATCATAACAAACGTCAAATGAACACAAAAAATATGACTACAAATAGTAATCAGATTACAGGACTATAGTTACCTTGTACTCTGATTTTGGTTTTCGAAGCTCAGGAGCAAAGAGCCTGACGGACGGGTCACCGAGCGCTAAAATACAACATGTGGTTCAGTCTTTGAGGTGACGGGTTAATTAAACCATTCAGTAATTGATTACACTCACTGTCAGTGAAACTCTGCAAGTTTCCTCCTTTACTCTTTCCTGCAGACAAACACATTAAACATCAGTCACATGATCAGGATCCGTTTTCTGCCTATGATGGAGAGGAGAGCTGCAGAACCCTCCTCCTGAAAATACTTTAACCTCCAATACATAACTATGCTCTGCAGCACCAGGAATGGTTGTGCATCATTTCTACCCAGCATGCACCACGTCAGGTTCTCACCTTTGAACAGGGCGCTCAGGGAGAGCCCCGATTGGCTTTTGTTAAGTGACGGCCTCTCTGTGGAGATCTTGGGGAAGGCGGGTTCTTTTTCTGTCCTCTGATTGGATGCTGCCGTCTCTTTGACGGACCAGGAAATACCTGAGGACACAGGAGGCACGGGTCATCAGCCAATCGCAGCCCAGGATTCTCCACAGAACGAGACTTACTGCCGACCGGCTCGCCGCTCCAGCTGACTTTCTCCACTTCATCTTCGTCGTCGTCGTCCACCAGCTGTCGAATACTGTTCACCGCCTGCCTCGATTCTTTTAACTAAGTTAAAAAACAAAATGAAAGTGGGATGTTTTGCTGTTTGTTTTGATGATGCGTTACTACCTTCATCTGCTAAGCAGCTTTCTGTCACTTTTATCTCCATTTATGGATTTTAAAAGCAAGCCTCCTTTAACGCGACAGTGACGTTTTGTAATGAGGTATCATAAGGTGATCTTCATTTTAAAGAGAAGTTCTGCTAATTTGAACAGCAAAACATCCAGGCTCTTTTAAGTTACTGCAATAAATGTCAAACGTTTTCATAATTCCAGCAGAAAGAGCTGTTTTGTTCATTTAACCACAAACTACCAGTCATGACTGCAGTGTCCTCTCAGCAGGTTCACATGACAAGAAGCAGCGAATCGGTCAGAAGAGAGCAGATGTTACCCTGCTGAACTCATCATCTTCATCATCGAAGGTAAAGGCTTTAAACTTGGAGCTGTTCCAGTAGTCTTCCTCATCTGCTTTGCTTTTCATCATCTGGACACGAACAATCAAACACTGTTTAAATCAACTTGGTCATTTCTGCCAACAAACATGTTTTTATTAAACGTTATGATAATTCTTTATGCATTCAGACTCATCTCTCTGAACTTTTATTATTTATTGTTGCAGGTTAGCAACTAACTGCTAGCATGCTAACAAACGTCAGTAAATAACTTGTTTTTTCCAGATGTGTCAAACGGAGAGAAAAGTCACACGATTCCGTAAATATATAAACTTTAATCCGGTTTACCAAAAATGACAAAACACTGTATACAACGCTGACAATTGATCAGAATAAACCCAATGTTTGTACCTTCAACTGCCGCTGCTGCGCTTCCTTTTCCTTTTGGTCTGACAGAAGCTTTGTGACTTCCGGTCCCGCAAGGGCTTCTGGGATTTTTATTTTTTATATTGGCAAATTAATTTGAAGTGCATTACCGCCACCAACTACACTGGAGTGGATCTGGAAATAAACAGGAGAGAAAAAACTATAGATTCGAGTAACATTAGCTACTTGCCTTTAAAAAACATAAACATCCATCCATCCATCCATCCATCCATCCATCCATCCATCCATCCAT